AGGAAGAGGAGGCACAACAGTTTAAAGTGTGGGAATTACTAGAATCCTTTGAAACAATGCAGCAATGTATGACATGCCTCAGAAATAGCAAAGCACTTCGCCTTCAATAAATCCGGGAGACACAATAAAGCACTTTGAGTTTGGGGGAGTGCTGCAGCAACAAATTGCCTTTTGTGAAACACTCAGGGATAGCATTCGTCAGGTTGAAATGAGTTTTGTAAAAGCAAGTGAAGCATTATGTTGTGCCCCCTGTTCAGAAATGTTACATACATTAATACAGTATTTGACCAAAACAGTAATGCGCTTAAGCTCCAGCACAGACATTTATTGGACCTTGCCTTGTCTTTCTCGCCAATTATCTTTTTGCAACTTCGTTCTAAAATTCCCCTTTGATAATAAAAGGTTGACCATCTTCACCTTGTTTTCTGAACCTAGTGTTCACTTTCATGGTTCACATATATAAATGAATGGGGAGGGAACACTATGATTAATACACTATACAATTTAAACTTCATGTGTGCTTATTATTTCTGACGGTTGAAAATAATTATTAATGCAAGTATATAAGACATGCATCAGAAAGAAAGAAAGGAAGTGGTAGCAGTCCATTCCTGAGGGTTGCTTCCCTTCCCAATGTGTTGGATTTTCCACACCATAAAACCCAGTCAGAGTCTGTTAGGAGCTCCATCATGCAGCACATGTTGCATCATATTCCTCTAGCCAAGTACCTGTCTTCTTGTCCCGCTGTGAGTAACAGATCAGGAGTTCATGAAGCTCAACGCAATACACGTTCTACTGTCAGTGAGGAGACTTGTGTCAGTCAAGAAGTCTGTCGAAGAGCAAGCACGTCGAGTCTGAGAGAAAACACCAAACTAATGCAGTCAGCTTACTCCCATCGGTTTATTGATCACCCCGAGGGAAAGTGTGCTAATGAAGATACATATGATCCCCTGCCATTAAGAACTAGAGGAGCGTTTGCAAATAAATACATATAATTAAAACTTAATCAAATGTAGCACGCTGCTACACATCAAACAGCCCCTACATGTATTCAACCAACATGGAATATAACTTTAACAGATACTCACAGCAGCTATTGTAGACTAACAGAATCAGTTTGACTGACCCGAAACTGTCGTAGCGAGTCGGGGGGAGCTGACTGATGACCGACGGGGTCTGCCACTCTCAGCTCTACTGGGGTTCTTTAATGCAATATGGAGATTAGAGGAAGTGATTTTCAGTGCTGCTGGAGATACCCAGAGACAGGGATCAATAATGTAAGTAAGCATACATAAACCATTGAGGCATTGACTGGGCCAATTGAGCATCGGTCGCATATCTTTTTCTTTTTTTGATGTATTTTATTACTTCTACCAAGAGTGGAAGTTTAATACATTTGGCCAAAATGATGTTAGCTCTTATTAGATTAGATTCAGTAGACACCTGCACTGAAAAAATGACTCAATTAAAGAAGCCCTTTAAAGAGCCTTACTCCCTCCGAATCAAATACTATTAGGTTTGATAGCCGGCAGCTAGGGAGTCTAATAGTGACAAGCACATTGGCCGAAAGCCAACACCTTGACCTCCCTGAGCAGAGACACCAAGATGGCTCGACACGAGAGGGAGAATGGAGCTATTCAGAGTTTAAGCCTCTGTAGACCTCACTGCGGCGGACAAGCTCACACTGCACCCGATCCTCACATTACTTTGGTTCAGTGGAGCAGAAAGGTGACTGAGACAGGATATGGTCATCTGGGCAAGAAGGAGGCCAGTCTGAGCATGCAGAGATTTGTGCAAACGCAGTGCAAATTAAGCTTTTTTTCATGGAGCTTCTAGCCAGTATAAACATCTTTTTTGCTGCAGTTGGTTTAGGGGCAAGAAGTAGGACAACATGTTAGTAAAACTAAAAGCAAAGATAAAGAGGAGAGAATTCTACCAGGGATGAAGAGGAGACAAAAAGAAAGTCAAGATGTAGTTAATAATGCATGGAGTTCTCAGAAACAGCAGCTTTACTTGCCATTCGCCCGGGGGAAAATTATAGAAGAGGCAAAGATCCACTAAGGAAAAAAAGGCTGTTTGGACCAAAGGACTCTCTTGCTTTAGATTTGCTTAATATATGTGTCCATGTAAGAATTAGTCTTAGCACTTATATGGCTCTGCACAGCGGGAAAATAATGTTTTATCTCTAAATGGCTGCAAATCATAGAACACATCTATCATTTCAAGATGCTGCAGTGTTTGTTCACAAAAAGCTCTTTGTTTTCATCAAAACATATTCTCATAAAGACTTCTCCTTTTTTTTTGCAAAACAATGTCACTCACTTAGAATAAAATCTCAGATAAATACATCAAAACACAACAGCAGCCTAACTGGAACTGTGATTTGCTCCTCTTGCTTGTGCGTGCATTCTGACAGCCAAGCCGTTCAATGTGGCCCAATCAAACAGAATTTGCATGAGGCAGATATTGTATACACATCACACTTTCATGTGGCCTTTCATAAAAGAAGAAATAGACACAGTGATCGGAGTGAAAACAGATACTGTATGAATATTTTACAAATAAGTTATTTTGTTTTAAGAGGATACTCAATCTAGGAGGCTAGGCAGCACTTTATATTATTTAGATTTACGTTTTACTTCATCACTAAATAGTTAATACAATATACCAGTTGTAAACCCCAACATACGGGATGCATGATAAGTTCTGAGGGTCCGAAAAACAAATGAACAAACACATTTTTTACTGTAAAAAACGGAATACTAAGATGTTTTAAACGATGCAGTTGCTGCTGCTGTTAAATGCAAAGAATGATACATGTGTTTCTATTATTTATCACAGAACAAAATTATAGAAAGACCGGTCTGTGTAATGACTTACAGACACAACACAAACTGCACCCTTTCAAAATGATACAGAACAAAACCAAACAATATAACGTTTATGTAGGGCGGATTTAAGCAGTGTTGTTTTGTTCTGCATTAGTTTTAGCTAAGTTTACCTAATAAAGTGGCACCTAAGTGTAGTTGATCTTAAGTATATAATCTATTTATTCTCCTGTGTACAGAGGTATTTCAGAATTTTATTTTAAAGGCTAGACAGACTCAGCCATGATGTGATTTGATAAGCATCTTCAACCCTGCCACACCCTACTCTTGTTTTACCTCTCTTGTATACAGTGATGTCCTCTAGATAAACTGACCATACATAAAGCCCTGCACGGCATGCTTTTAGATTAATACAAGGCCAGTATATTTGAAAATCACGACTAATATGTTTGACTTTCCAGCGTCTGAATACAAATGATTTACACATAAATTCTGCCAGGATGGCCCTCCCTGTTCGCGATATAAAACATCAAATACAGATCAGCAGCACTCCAAAAGCACTCAGTTAGCAAAGGTGTTTCCAGGGTTTCACTTGTATAAAGCACAATATCCATTAGGGGCGTGCAACCCCTTAACAGTAATGTGTCCTTATCAACACTGTATTAAGCCAACATAACTAACTGCATTATTTATAAAAAGGGTGCAAAGAGGAGGAAAGGAACATCAGCAAAGACAACAACAATCCACAGCGCAGGATACTCTTGTTCATCCTCTTAAATACCTCTACGTATCAAATGTGAATAATAAATCCCAAAAGATTAAATCCTGCACCACTGATTATTAAGAAACACGTGTGAAAGGAGAATGCATTTTTCCAGCTCAGGATATGACTGACGTGTTTCCATTATTAGCACAAAGCGCTGTCTTGGCTGGGTTATTTCTGATGACACACACTTTGAAACTGCACTCAGACACTTCTCTCTGCAGGTGGTAATGAAGGGAAACACAGGGAAATAAAACCGATGTGGCAAAGCCAATGTATGGGATGCAATTCTAAAGGCAGTTATATTTTGATGTCTGCCCTGGGCTCGCCTCATTAGCCATCATAACACTGTGTGAGATGTGCATACTGTAGGCATCAAAGGCATTGACTAAGTTCTCACAGCACGACTCTATGAGGAGCGATACCAGGTCAGATGAGGGAGGAGGCACCAGACACTTTCATTCTGGAAGCAAGTCAATCACTGCTCCTCTTTCCTCCACAGGGAAATATATATTCTGACCATGTGCATTACATAATAAGATATCAGTCGAAGTATGCTTCTTTGCAGCGCTCCAAGGTTGTGTTCAATGTTCCTGCGGCTCTGACAATCTTGATAGATTTAGTTTTCAATAATTCAGCTATCAGTCTGAGCTCTGAGAGTAGTGTCTCTGCCTGTCAGACTCAACCTCGCTAATACCGTGCACCTGCATTATGAATACATTTCAGCTAGCATCTGTCATACTGTGTATACAACTGACAGTAAAAACATCTGGATTTGCTACTTTCGAATTCAATGAAATTGGTAAATGACATGCAGTGTTCTTTGCTAACAAACCTTTAAAACTGTAAACACAACAACAAATACAGAATTTCTGATTTATCTTTCTTCATCAAGTCCTAAAAAGTGCAATGCGACCCTTAGCCAAGCTTAGCCACAGCCCCAAGTTCAACCTAAAGAAAATCTGAAAAAACATGCCTTTGTAGCTCCCCCCTTAAAATAAAATAGTTGCCTGCACAAGTTCATGTATCCAACCTTTTTCTCAGCAACTTCCAAGCCAACAGAAACATCAACAACAATCACAATAGAAATAAATAATAATGTCTTCTTTCCCTATACATAAGCATGCACATCTTCCCACGAATAACCCAGTTTTTCTGTTTTACCCCCAAAGAAACTCTGTTTTGTCGCAGCAGCAACAGCCCAGAGAGATTTAAAGCTATCATCCTCTTATCTTTTTGTGTACCTTCAAAAGATGTTTGTTGCACCTCAGTATCACACTAAATTAAACTGGCAATAAGATTGGATCAGGAAGAAATGCTGAGGGTGGAGATCAGTTCCGCTGACATGTGGGACACGCAGCAGTCTAATGATTTGTCAGGAGGCACGAGGTGTAATTGCGGCTACTCACTGGCGTGCATGAGCTGTCCCTGGCGTCCAAACACCTGGGAGAAGGTGGCATGGCTGCAGGTGAGGGTGTCCTCCATGGCTGTCCCACTGGCACACGCTGACGAGAGAGGAGGGGGATAAAGGAAGGTCAGCAACACTGCGTCACATCAAGATGGAAAAAGAGCAGAGGATGAGGGAGGAAAAAGAAGAGGGAGAAGAGGGGGGTGGGGCTTGCCTTCAGTTGTAGAAGCTGGTGTGTGATCTCTGGTGATGACTGCTTTCCTCTGGACCCGTCCTGCTGCTGCTGCTGCTGCTGCTGCTGCTGCTGCTGCTGCTGCTGCTGCTGCTGGGGAGCCAAATACAGCCCCTCGCTGCTCACACCAATATGAGCAGAATTGCTCGCCGCACAGATAATGGGAGGGGGTGTGCCTGCCTGCGTGTCAGCATGTGTGTGCGCAACAGAAAGTTCTCTGAATGTGTGTGTGTGTGTGTGTGTGTGTGTGTGTGTGTGTGTGTGTGTGTGTGTGTGTGTGTGTGTGTGTGTGTGTGTGTGTGTGTGTGTGTGTGTGTGTGTGTGTGTGTGTGTGTGTGTGTGTGTGTGTGTGTGTGTGTGTGTGTGTGTGTGTGTGTGTGTGTGTGTGTGTGTGTGTGTGTGTGTGTGTGTGTGGGAGGGAGGGAGAGTAATGTAGTAGAGCAGGCAGCTGGGCTGTAGGCACAGTTTCTGATCTTGTGCTTCGTCTGTGCAGGCTGACAGTCCTCTGCGGCTCCAGACAGGCTGGGTTGAAGGGGAAGAGCAAAGAAGAGGGGAAGACAGGGGTGAGCACAGTGACTATGGAAGGTAAAAGTTAATCGTCCCTCCTCCCCCCTCACTCTGGGTGTGAGTACACAGCAGCATTTGTGCTCTGGGAGCAGGACAGGACTGTTGTTTTCTGGTAGGTGTTACTATGCCCCCTTTTCTCTCCTCCCTCTCTTCAGCCCTCATTTGCAGAGCCTCAGCAGTAACATCTCTCTCTGCCTCTCCTGTTCTCCCTCAGATCTCTTACTCTCTCCACCCCACCCCATGCAAATCCCCTCGATCCATCTTAAGGCTCGGGCCGCTGCTGGGAAACAGATTCTAGCAAACTCGAGTGCTTCATCTTCCCCCTGTGCTGAGGGAAAAAAAGGAGGATGAGAAATTGGAGAGGTTGAATAGAAAGGGAAAAGTAGGGCTGGTAGTACAGCTGGTGGTTTCCAGAGGCTTCGTCTTGAAAAGGAATTGTATTTATAACTGCTGAGTATAAAATAAAACTGAGCTCATACTCAACAGAAAAATAACTCTTGTAAACTGCTACTTGTTTTGCTATGTACCTTAATAGCCACAGTGAAGCAGTAAAAAAAAAGAGACATACTGGCATGTGTGAAAAAAAACTCCACACGGTGCAGCTAAGCGACACACCAAGGTGTAATAAAGGATTAACAGTGACATGAGATCAAATGAGCACATATTACGAGATCCTAAAATACCCTCCCAGGCCTTGGAGGCACAGTTAGTTATATTGTACCCATTGTGCAGCGGTTGGCATGGAGACCTCTTCTACAGACAAAACTCCAACATGTTAGTATCACACTAAAGCCATTGCTGCACTGTCTAGTCTCTCTGCAGTGGGTACACTTGAGTTAAACAGACAATTTCCTACCAAGCAACAACAAGAGAAAACATTGTCAGGAAGCCCATTGTGATAAAGCCATCTCTCACACCACTGCCCTGCAAGGCGAGCACATCAGGGACTCGACCGCAGCACTCACGTCCTCGCATCACATCCTCCTGTTTTGAAAGGAAATGGCAGGAGACTGGGCGGATGGCTCGGTATTTGGCTGACTTAAGCAGGTGGTTCTGCAGGTGAAAAGATAACAGCAATACAGAAAAACCATACCCCCTATGTATTGACAGCATTAAGCAAAAATAACTGACATTGATGTGTTTCACAATGTCCAAAGCAGTTTAAAAAAAGAGCATGACGTAGAATACAAACATGATGAAAAAGCAGAATGCTAAGGTCAAACTGAAGCCAAATGTAACAAGGAGAAGACTTGATACTTCACTTTCAAGTCAGAGAGATGAATGCCCAACAGAATGAATCTCCTCTCTGTCTTCATTAGCTTTAATGACATTCTCTTTGAACAGGAAGTAGAGGCAGAATTAGGTTTTTTTGGAGGCTGTATATTGTCATGTATGAGCAGCTGTCTCTCCCTCCGACTCTGTCTCCCATCACTGGCAGCTATCTTTCTGTAGAAGACAAATAACTTTATAATTTAAAGCCACTGATCAAGTATGATCAAGCTGCCTTTTTCAAATATATATTTTGTTGTAATAAAATAAAACACTAGCTTATTTTCGAGGTGATTCATCGATTAGTTGATAGACAGAAAAAATTATGAGGCATCCATTTTCAATAAATGTGTGAATAATTAAGATAATTTGCAGACCACAATGCCTCCAATCCAGTTTCTTCAACGTAAGAACAATTGAAAATAATCTATTATAAATGATATTGCACCAAGGCTAAATATCCTGTGGTATAATTTAGGGATTTAATGTAATCAAATTAGAAAACAATTTAGCACTGTAAACATTCTTTCACACACACATACGGGTTTTGGGCCGAGGGCGACACCGTACATCCGGCATCAACCATTTCACGCGAGGTGCATACAGAATATCATAGTCGATTGCCTTAATATCAATATAGTCAACTCTAAAATACCACATATATGCATTGGCATGATAATATTATTGTGACAAGTGGGGTATTCACCTGGTGTTTCCAGAAGATAGACGTAGATGCAGCCAAAATCGACCGAAGGCCACTTTTGAGGGTCGTAATTCCATACATTGTACATCCAACAACCCACACAGCTCTAGTTTACGCTGGTAACGACCTAGAGCACACCCCTCAAGTCCAGAGATGTAATCCGAAGACATGCAGCGATTTCTTCGGTCGTTAATTCAGAAAAAAAAACCTAGTGCGCTCTGCCTGGCAACATAAGCTAGCTGTTTATATTAGCATTGCCAGGATTTTTGCACCTCCAGAAAAATGGCGTCTTTATAAAAAAATATATGGCGCGCGTTGCATTGTGGGTAGCTGTGACGTCACTGTGTGTGAAAGAATTACAGCAGCGTGTCACCATGTTAGCTGTTATTAGCATTTAGCTCAACACACTGTTGTGTCTCAGTACAGAGCTGCATGTATGACTGTAAACCGTCATGTTTAGAGACGTCAACTGGGTTGTAATGTTTCATTTAACTTCAGGAGTCACTTACCAATTCGGACTGTCATTATTTTTCAACCTGCTGCATTAAAAAGTCAAGATGAAAACCAGGTGACACTCCTGTTGATGGGTGGGGTTGCAGGTTCAGCAGCAGCACGATGACCCACCTCACCGATCAGTGAGAGACCCCGGATGTAGCCTATAGTGAGACAGGCTGAAAAATGCACAAACCAGAGAGAAAAAAAGCCCTGCTCCTTAACCTGGTGTTGAGTCACTCTTCATGAAGAACAGGTATTTTCCCAACTTGTAGTTAATAGTAGTTGATCCAGCTATTTAACATTTGTAGGTGCATTAGGTTTTCAGTAAACAATATCTTGATAATCAGAAATAAAGTGATGCGCAAAATACAGTCATGTCCAGTGTTGCAATGTAATATTTACTCAAGAACAGTAGCCTACTTAAATAGAAAATGTAGGTAGGCTACCGAGTAGCCTACTTTGGCATAATGCTACACACAACTTTTACTTCACTACATTTTGAATACAATATTGTACCTACTCCACTACATTTATTTGACATAAAGTTACTAGTTACTTTGCAGATGTAGGTTATTAATACAAAATATAAATCAACACACATTATTATATTATTATAGGTTAAGTTGTGTATAAAGTAATTCAGTAATTCAATTCAGTAATTACCGGAAATGTAAGCTCTAATATTACACTAGATAGTAAACTAGAATGCTTTTCAGCCATAAATCTTGAACAATTAAATTCAACGATTCTTTCTTCTAAACCATCAACGTGTATCTTAGACCCGATTCCAACTAAGCTGTTGAAGGAAGTTTTTCCATTAATTAGCACTTCTTTATTAAATATTATGAATATGTCTTTATTATCAGGCTATGTTCCACAATCATTTAAAGTTGCAGTAATAAAACTTCTTCTTAAAAAGCAAAACCTCGATCCAGAGGTTTTAGCCAATTATATAGACCTATTTCTAATCTCCCATTCCTCTCCAAAATAAAGCGGTCGCAAAACAGTTGTGTGATTACTTAAAAAGCAATGATTTATTTGAAGATTTTCAGTCTGGCTTTAGAACACATCATAGCACAGAGACAGCTCTGGTTAAAGTCACAAATGACCTTCTAATAGCCTCTGACAGGGGACTTGTCTCTATTCTTGTTTTGCTCGATCTCAGTGCTGCATTTGATAATATCGACCATGATATCCTATTGCAAAGACTAGAGCACTTAGTTGGCATACAGGGAACTGCTTTAGGCTGGTTTAGGTCCTATCTATCTGAACCCTCTCAGTTTGTGCATGTCAACGATGAATCTTCCATGCAAACCAAAGTTAGCCATGGAGTGCCACAGGGCTCAGTGCTTGGACCTATTTTGTTCACACTATATATGCTTCAGCTAGGCAATATTATAAGGAATCATTCTGTAAATGTCCACTGTTATGCGGATGATACTCAACTATATTTATCCATCAAGCCTGATAAAACCAATCACCTAAATCAAATTCAAGACTGCCTCAAGGACTTAAAAACGTGGATGACCTTAAACTTTTTGATGTTAAACACGACCAAAACTGAAGTTATTGTACTCGGCCCAAAGAATCTACGAAACAAACTATCTAAAGATATACTAGTTATGGATGGCATTAATTTGGCCTCCAGTGAGACTGTAAGGAATCTTGGTGTTATATTTGATCAGGATTTATCCTTTAACGCCCACATAAAATCAATCTCAAGGACCGCCTACTTCCATCTACGCAACATTGCCAAAATTAGGCATATCTTGCCTCAAAACGATGCAGAGAAACTAGTCCATGCATTTGTTACTTCTAGGCTGGATTATTGTAACTCTTTATTATCAGGGTGTACCAAGAAGTCAGTTAAGTCGCTTCAGCTGATTCAAAATGCTGCAGCATGTGTACTAACTAGAGTTAGGAAAAGGGACCACATTACTCCTGTTCTGGCTGCCTTACACTGGCTCCCTATAGAACACAGGATAGAATTTAAAATTCTTCTTCTCGCCTACAAAGCCCTTAATGGGCAGGCGCCATCTTACCTTAAATAACTCATTATACCCTACTGTCCTACTAGGGCATTGCGTTCAAAGAATGCAGGGTTGTTGGTTGTTCCTAGAGTCTCTAAAAGTACAATGGGAGCCAGAGCCTTTTCTTATCAAGCTCCACATTTGTGGAATCAGCTTCCAGTTTGTGTTCGGGCGGCAGACAGCCTATCCGTTTTTAAGAGTACGCTTAAGACCTTCCTTTT